TTCAGTACATTGGGACGACTTATTAGACACTGTCAGGTGCTGTCCCCAGCAAGCCAGAGGCTCCGGATGTGCGCAACCTCATTTGTGTGCAGCCTTGCTGGTTGTGAGAGGGGAATGGAGGCGTGGACGAAACATGAAATTTATTTTTGGGTTTAGGGTTTAGGGTTTCTAGAGATTGCAAAAGGAAGATGGAAATTACCAGTGTATGGGTGGTTATGTAGGGGCTATATAGACATCCATTCCATTCCCTTCTCAAAACCACAGCCGCGGCTGCGTAGATGGATTCTCTTTTGTGCTGCTTGCGCAGTCTGGCCGAGCAGCACCCCTGGGCCTCAGACACAGTCTCTAGTACAGGGGCCTAAATAATTAGGGTTTAGGGTTTAGGGTTTAGGGTTTAGGGTTCAGCCAATATTTTGAAGTATGGTGCAGGGTACCTCAAATAGGCCTTAGTATGACATTGGTAACTATTTGGGCCCCTACCGCACGCAATGACTTGGCCTCAGCCCAACGCAACGCCAAGCACATGGGCTAAGGTGTTGGAGCGGCGCTGGCGAGATTCTATGGCAAGCGTAGACGGAAGACATAGATCGCTTGACGCCTCCCTTAGCATTGTCGAAAACAAAGTCTCCACATTCAACGGCACTTAGGTCAAACTTTTCAAATGTGCAGTTGCGCATGCCTTTGGCTTGTTTGGCTTCATCATGATTCAGGCAAACTACTGATTCACACCTCCTGCCACTTCAGCAGGGCTCAAGCAGACTGGTGTGTGGGGAGCTTGCTGCAATTTAGCTCGCTTGTACCATCTCATGCAGCTGACTTGCCGTTTCACGTTTTTGGATGTGTTGCTGGAGAGCGAGGAAAAGGTCATCGCGGCAAAAGGGGCTGCGTTGCGCGCCAGCAGTGCTCCTCCCAGTCGTGGCTGGAGCTCGCTGGTGGGCCCCGAGGTTGCGGAGGATCAGACAGAGACGGAATCCTACGTGAACACCTTGCTCCCCGGCATAGGAATGGTTGTCCCTCCTCCAGCTGAGGCCAATTTGGGGGTTTGGGCAAGTGAGGGCAGCATTGGGCATCCAAACCTCTGCAAGCGGCCTTGCTGCCACGTTGTGGCAGGCAGGCCTTGTCCTCAAGGCACGCAGTGTGCCCACTGCCACCTTCCACACAAACAAGTTCCGAATCTGGACAGGTGGTGCCGAAGCACGCTGGAGCAGATGCCCCCATCCCAATTCCTTGCCTTGATGCTAGAATTGCTACAGGAGAAGGCTGCACACTCGTTGCTTAAGGCTGATGCTCTCTTGGACATACTCGGAACCGAAGTGCCCATTGAAGACGCGACATCGAACTCCAGGTCCAAGGGCATCGGAAGGGCAAGCCTGAAGCAGCTGATGCATCGCCTGCGCCGGATCAACTTCGCAAACTTGGTGGCCATGGTTGTAAGGCGGTGTGAGGAGGGTAGCCGGTCGCGGCTGCTCCAGGCGCTGCAAGACCTCCGCATGCAGGAGTGATGAGAATCAGCTTTGCAGCGAAGAGGTATGGAGGTCTTGCACGGTAGCGTCTGACCGGATTTAAATTCATGGGACTGTATTTTTGAAAATACAGTCTGCCAGTGCCAGACATCTGGCGCATCGTGACCTGACGCGTTGCGTCCGGCTCCCCTGTGCTTGCACAGGAAATACATATTTTGACTTTACAGCCGCTCGGTTACCTTATCAGGTGACCGGGCTTGCAGTGCCAGGTGTTCCCGCTTTCCCGTTCTGGTGGTTTTGGTTAGGATATTAGATACAGATATGCATTGTTAGTGGAAGACCGGGGCAGGGTGCTGGCACTCCACGTTTGCAGAATTTCTGCTGCTTTCTCCGTGGGACAGGCTTCCGGCATATGTGTGTGCTAATAGGAAGCTTGGAACGTCTAAACTGATAGCCAGAAGCTTGTTCACGGACGTGACAGCACAATTGCAACCAATATCGCACAGAAGCTGCCTAGGTGCATTTGCGCCAAAGCATTGCAGGCTTAATGGCCGCAGTAGGCTAGTGGTGGCATTCGGCGCGTGGTGTGGGAGTCGTCGCATGATGCGGTGACCATACCAACAGGGGAGGGTCTCTGGCAATGCTTGACACGGCAAAAGTGCCAGATTGGATTTTATGCCGCTGCTGGACCGGAGCTTGTGCAGTCATTGGCATGCGGTTGGAACAGCGGCAAAGCGCCCAACGACTGCGGCGTGGCTCAAGCTGCGCAGGGCGTGACCAACTTTCTGGATGGGGAACCTTGCTAGTTTGAGTTTGTGCAGCCAGAGCTCGAAGAAATAGGTTGAGTAGCATACAAGCCTAGTCCTACATGCTGCTCTTATAAGTTTGGATTTGGTAGAAGCGTATGCCGAACATCGAGGCCCGGGAAACCGCACCAGCTGCACCTTTCAGAAGTGAAGCTTGGGGTGGGTCAGAACCTGCGAGACCTGTCTGCTGACAGGTCATCGTGGCAGACGAAGCAACCAAGCACCTGTTGCAAGGCACATCCCAGCATGGCCTCTAAGTATGTGAATCAACGCTTTGCAGATTCTCCTGACCCTTTGACAGGACGTAACGGAAGATGTGTATATTCGAGTAAAACCCATAATACTAATGATAAGATTTGTGATAACAATGATGATCATCGCAATGGTAATGATAATAGTGACATCAGCAATAATATTGACTAGCAGGGAGGCTGTGCTTGATGAGTTGCTGACGCTGATGTCGTTGGCTTGTGCAAAGCCGAGGTCCGTGTCGGTTTAGTGTTCAGGTGTAGTGTTCAAGGTTAGTGTCCAGCAATTATTTGCATTCTTATATTTTGCCATGTCTGCTCGTCTGATTATGTTTTAGCAGTAGTATTAGAACCACAAGAAAACAGTTCACATAGTATGCGTATGTACAGTGGCAAAGGTTAGCAGGAAGCATCAACAACACAGGTAGAAAAGTAGTTTCCATTCCATATCCCATTCCTAAGCCCAAAAACATAGAAAAATGTAGTAGTTTCGATGTTCTTTTCCATTCCTTCCTACTTACAGCCTCCTAAACCCTAAACCCTAAACCCTAATCAGCTCCCTGTTATGGAGCCTTCGGTCCAGCAAGAATGCTGCAGCGCTTGGTGAACACACTTGGATACTCCGGCCCCCGCAGCTATGGCAAGCCCTGACCCTGTGAAGATCCTTGAAGGCGATAGCAAAGGCGGGTATCAATCAGAAGAGCCTGCAATATTTCCGACGGATGCTGGTAGTGTCGCTGATAGAAACGCAGCCTGCACTTGTGCCCTAACCCCTAAACCCTGTACTCTAAACCCTAAATACATCAAACTCTAAACACTTATCCCAGAACCCTAGGCCCTAAATCTCAAAACCCCAAACCCTAACCCTTAAACCCTAAACCCTACATAGTAGTTTCCATTTTCTTTTCCATTATCCCAATATAACCCCTATATAACTCAATATCCTACCTATATAACCCCTTAAGGGGG